AGACGGAGGGTAAGGAGACTGTCGTAGACAAGGAATGACTTCCGTGGAACTGTAGCAAGGGAGATGGGTTTGGAGGGGTACAAGGAATGTGCGGTAGCGGAATTGACAAGAGGGCCCTTGGCTTGCATTTCAGCCAGTGGACAGGAGAGCCAATCGTAGTGAGTGTCCCCATCGGGATAGGTAAAGCGTCGGACATAGTCACAAGAGGAGGGAGGTGAGGTGGAGGAGGAGGCGGTGATGCCAGAGGCAGAAGTGGCAGAGGGAGTGGTCGAGGTGGTGGAATGCTGCAATTGGGAGATATCAACACCAGCTGCCATTGCAGCGAGACGGGAGATACGTGTACCCACTTTCGGTGATGGTGTTGCGTTAATGCTTAGAGGAGTTGTCGCTGTGACTTCCGAATTTCCCACACTGAAAAAGAAGGCGAAAAAATAAAAACAAAAGGTTGAAGAGAGTAGTCTTCTCGATATGATCGTAGTCGTGTCAAATGCGGCGACAGTCATGCCTGGGTGAACGAAGCAAGGTTACTGTTTCGGTTAAACCGATTACCGAAGACATTCAACAGGCGATAATAACTATAGGAGGTGGTCGTTCCAGACTCCAGAGACGCAGGTGGACTGCAACGCGACTACAAGGGTACCGGCCTCTTGGCCAATCTGCACGTCGATAACGTCTAACATCTGACACCACCCACGCTTCAAAAAGAGCTTTACTTTATGAAAAAATCAACCGAAAGACGAGAAATCTGAAAATCTACAGAAAACAGAGAGGAACTAGAGTTCCACAACTCGGTGAGCAATTGAGCGTGACCTGTATTAAATGAGTTTAAATCGCCCATAAAATTCGGAGGACCATAGAACTTCACGCGGGTTTTACGACAACACCTCGAGGGAGTCACATGCATTGGTAGGTTATCGGAATCCACAAACTGTGCGCGATTGTTTACTGTCAGTGGATTAAGCATTCATGCGCCAATCTATCGGTGCTGTTCATTTTACTCGCTTCGCGTCTTGTAACCCACAAACTTAGCACCAAATGTCGCAGGGATTTGATGAGATTGTCGGTTTACAAAGCTGCTTTCTTAAAGAGCATTTGAAGGAGGTGCTGTGTGTGCGGTGCTAGAACCTACCAACCAGACTCCAATGGTAATGGTGAGGAATGGCTCAAGGATAGATACATCAGGAAGATGAATACCTCTTCCTGATCATAAAGGATAGAATGGGTGCATACACGTCTAAATGAATGAACTGACGAGTGGTAAGCGAAGTAGGCCAATAATGGTTAGGTGGAGGTGTCGACGGCTACACCACCATCTCTTGAAAGCCAAGCAAGCAGGCTCTACATGGTTTATTGACGCGTAACAACGTGAAGTGATGATAGGCGAATTATAAAGAGGCAACTCACTCCTCACCGCCTAAGAGATGCATCACCTCACCACCTAGAAGACCACGTGCGGCAGACCGTAGACACAATGCACTCGCACACGTGGTACCGGAGGCAAGATGGCTCTATCCACGTACCTCAAAACATATCCGTGAGATGATGTACAGTCTGGGGGATAGACGGAGGGGCGGGCGGGAGGAGACGGGACATCGCATCACCTCATCCTCCCAATCTGTCCCCCTTGATGATACACTCGACTCCATGTTCAGGTGGGCAAAGGGAGGGGGCATGATATTTATGTGCAGTAAATGCGAACGTGTCAAGCGACGCTTAATCTACACAAAGTTCTGTTCCCTTCCCCCTCCCCTGAATCCGCCTCCAGCGCTAAAGGGGGTGTTAATAGCCTTCTATGCTTTTGGTGCCTTATTAAGGTACTAGCGTTACCCGGAGGCCTATTAGTAATGAGTAGGAGGCATTAGAGCTACCCTCACCGACCCATCCGCGTAAACACATACACACACACACACACTTAGTACACACATGTGTGTGAGTTTGTGCACGTGCCACCATAGTGGCAGACTCACCTGAGTAACCACGGCAACCCCCCTTAACCATCTATCTTTCTCTCTACCTAAACACCCACCTACCTATCTCTCTATGTGCGCACACAAATTTGTGTGGTAGTATGTGCGTGTGTGGTGCTGTACTGTGGCGTGTGTAGTGCTGCGTGTGCTGTGCATAATGGAATTTCATGCTCTCAAAGGATCGATGGAAGAACAGGCACCCTTACCCCCTTGGCACGCACACACACACGTACTAACAAAGTAAGCAAAAAATGTTCATCCACTCACTTTGCGTCTTCATTAAGACGAGTAGGAGGAGGTGGTTTGTTGTTTCGACTGAAAGTGACTACTAGGTAACCCTCACAACTGTCAAAATCACCCGAATTGGACGAGGTTGACAGAGAGGAGGCAGCTGAGGAGGACGAAGGAAGAGGAGAGTCCGCAAGAGTACCCTCACCTATTGCGCTAACTGCTGCCATGATTGATTCCTTCGTGTATGCAAATCTTCCGTCAGACTGCAATACGCATAGAGAGGCGGTCAAGAGGATGAAAAGAGATAAGGCCATCGGACGCGACCTTACAACTCAGCGCAAATATATGAGTCATTCCTGACCACAGGAGTGATGGCGCAAAGGGAGGTGCAGACAAGTTGGAATGAGACCTAGTAGAGAGCTTTAAAAATGGCCGATAGGGGTCACATTGATGCGACCGACCGAATGCGGCTATCAATCTACCAAATATGTTGTAATTAAGGAGATCAAGAATGACAAAAAAACCAGAGAAAAAACGGTTCGTATGTTCTCGTTTTTGCCAAGAGCAAAAGAGAGAGAGCGAAAAAGTGCACGACGAGATTCAATGTATATGCATCTGACAACGGTACGAGACACTGGCGAAATGTGTCCTCACTATTGATCAACGCCTGCAGCAAAATAGCCCGCGTTAACAGCAAGCTCTATAAAGTGTGAAGTGCCGCATCCTACGTTGTTATAATATTCATACGCAACAGTCTAAAGGTCAACAGGATATTTTGTTCATGTATGCAAAAGAATAAGGCGAAAAAGACAAAAAAGTGCAGCAAAAATGGTGTCCTCAAAGGATATTCTCACTTTTGTGTAAGTGGCAAAAAAAATAAATTGGAAGAAGGCAAAGGCAAACCGAAGGCGACTATAGTTATTCGTACGGCGTGGAGAGAGGAATTAATCAAGCTCATTCTATCACGTATTCAGATAAAACGCTTATCGTTAGGTTAGTGAGAAGCTGGAAATGTTGCTGAGTTGTATTTAGGCTTAATGCCATGATACTCTTACGGACAGCTACACTATTTTGAACCGGATTAATAAGACGGAAGGCACAGTTGTGGGGCACTAAAAACCTCCGCCAAGATCACAAAGCTAAATTTTAACACGAAAAATAAAGGACAATGCCATTCTAACGACCAAAAAGAAGGAGTTGGAATAAAAACTTCGGAAGGATATTTAATATGGGCTGTGGGCCGATTCATAACGTATGTGAAACAAAACGGATATGAAGTGCCAACAAAAAACAGTAGAAGATGTAACAGGGTTTAAAATAAGAAAACAAAAGGCACAATTAGAAAGCACTCACGAGACGACGAGAAAATGAAAAACTTCCCAGTTACGAATGATGAACGTGGGTCGAAGGTGGGGATAAGTAGAGAATAAAAACAAATGGTAATCGCAAAAAACAAGCAACGTTTTTGTAATAAAATGTAAAACGGACAAAGCCGCAATACGATAATTTTGATCATTATTTTAGGGAGAAGAACCGAGGCAAACCGACAAACATTATAAGTAGAAAGATTTCACAATAAAACCGGGAGACAGCTCACGTCCAAACAACCAAACTAGTTCTAGTCACTAAGATACTGTAAGGAAAAATGCAATGTAGCATATTATTTAAGACTGTTTCCTAGGTATCCATGAATATTTTATTTACAGAAGTGAGCCACATTTGTGAAAGAAAAAACTCGGCATTGTGATTTAGTGCCTTAAGATAAAAAGACTTAGTACTTAAGGCAATCTCATATATTTATCATGCGGTTTGGGCCAGGTCCTCCGTACTGGCTTTAGGGGAGAGCCTCCCGGGGCAATGTACCATGGCCATTATGAAAACCGAGAGTCATGCAACTAAAGCATTGCAGCGATGCATGCTTATTTCAAACATAACTAGTCGTCTACCATATTTATCGTCAGATGCTTGAGCATATGGAGTGTTCGTAATTTGCACTCTTATGATCTGCAATTGTCCCATTCAAAATTACTACTAATAAGCCTTTACCAGAAGTGTACACTTTTTAAAGGACTTCAAGGCCTTAGGAGAAGAGCTAATCTAGGAACCGGCCGCACTGGTGGCAGCACCGGCTAAATACTCCCCCCTTCTAAGATGTTTTGTAGTAAAAAAGTGGCTGGGAACCACAAAATCTAATATCTAACTCTTTTGTCGAAGCCAAGGAATGTACCAAATCCGTCTCTCTTTTTAGACTCATATATTTCGGTATTTTGCTTTTCCTTTTGCCACATATGAGAGATCCGGATCATCCTACTCCCTTAAATTAGATATACTGGATGGGAAAAGTTATCAAATCTTGCAGAATTAAAAGTTTTTTAGCTTAGTTTGTTTAGTTTATCAAACTACTGTGTAGCGTTTTTAATACATGCCATTTGCACCGAAGATGTTGGATGTGTTTTATAGACGTATTTTGAGAAGGCCTTCAGTTATGTTTGCAACCGCTGTCATTTGCGCTTTTGCATTTGAACGAGTTATTGATAAAGGAGTTGATAATCTCTTTCGATACATTAATAAGGGGGTAAGTCAACATTAACCCTAGCTCCTGACATGTTATAGAAACTCTTTGAGGACATTCGTCCTGATAAAGATGCATGATCGTAAATACTAATTCGCTCGTTAGACATTTCTGACCCACTTTTTACCGTTCCATCCCGTTCTTTTCAAAATTGACCTGTTTGCATTGCTTATTAGTAAATTTCTCATTTATTACTGATGGTGTTTTTTGGAAGAGATATTAACGCCATGAGATTTTGCCTTTGGGGATACTTGTCTAGGTGTAAGGTGTTTTGGTCCACTCTTTTTCGGTGTCATGTATGTTAAACCCCGACTGCACTATCCTTGATTGCTTGCTTGACTAAAACTGGGAAGTTGGAAGGCAGTACTTTTGAGCTGTGATATTGTGGCTTTGATTTGTACATTGTTAGAGTGGGGAATGTGTTGTCTCATAATCCCCTTACCCCCAGGTGTCGCTTTAACGCTGCCTATTCATTTATCCTGGCTGTTTCTACCTTCTTGGAGGAGTCAATGATTTAAGCTCACTTACGCGCACGAATCAGTTGCTTTGTTCCCCCTTTCATTACTGATGTGGTTGTGATTGAGAAACACGATTTTTGAGCCAATTTTCCCTTTTTCTCTGTGGTCTTTATACTCCACGGATTCAGCTCCTTTTCTCACGGTGAAGGGCCGATAAATTTAAAAGCAAAGCACTTCTTTGAAGTGTCACTGGAATGTAGCCAAGAGTAAAGGATTTTGGTGTATCTACGGCGTACCAATACTGACAAAGGCATCATTATCACCCCGAATGGCTGGGTGATTCTCGGTACAGTCGTCGGGCCGAAAGCATAAACCGTGAATCTCTGCACTTGATGCTCCCAGTGATTACTCTTTTTTCCCTTTGACCTCATAATGGGAAGGTGTTCAAATTCATCGTCCCTCAAGCGTCTTAGCAAAGGCTTTATGTCCCGGCTCCTGATCTCATTGTTCTGCATTGGAAGGGAAGGGGGAAGGATTATGACTGTCTTTATGCTGCTCATGACCGTACGCCACATTTGTCCAGAAGCTAAGGCAGTAAATTCAAGCGGCCCTGAGAAGTTGGTAATCTATTTTCGTCTCTGCCAACCAATCGTTAATCCACCACCGTTCAACTGTAAGACTGGAGGATGAGGGCAGCTGCTTCACACGAGGATGAATCAGTCGTCACAGCCTCTCAATGATGAATTCCCACAGATTTGGCTATCGGTAGCTGCCGTCCCCATTCTATCACGGCACGGTTTAATAACCAAGCCAAGGTATCAGTCCAATTATCCATCTGAATCAAGATAACTCATTACTGCATTGGAGGGGGGGGGGGGCAACATGCCTCACAACCTAATATTACCCTGGCACTCTATGCTTCTAGCGTGGTGCCCATGACCCCTACCGGTAATCATTGAGGGTCAATAGTAAGGTACAAAAGAATGGGAAGGTCATAGACATGGTTGGGTGGAGGCAACAACGCAGATTAGGAGGTCTGCATCGTCAAATCAAGTTAAGCCTCTTCAGCCCGGTCCTTGGTGATCCCAGAAGTTGGCATTCTGATTCGACCTTGACGAATCGGGACGGCAGACCCAATTCGCCTTGTCGGGAATGAGGGATATCGCATTCCTCACAGGATCAACTGTATCAAAGAGGAATACACTCCGGAAATAATGCCCATATCAAACCTATGACCGGGACAAAGTGGGGAGACATGCTCTGACTTACGGCGTGAAGAACCGCCAGTCACTGGGGAAAGTTAGTCCTTCCGGTAATATCTTGTCATTTATATCAGTAAGAAGCCAAGGGTACTTCTTTCATCCTGGATAGGCCTAATTGCGGCGCTTAAAAGGCACCCAATCATTGAAAACTGACGAGTCACTCGATAGCCGACTCCCGAAGACAAATTCGCCTGGTCTGCACACAGACCGGTCGACATGCCCTTACAAAAGTCAAGTGATTAAGAATACAGTGGGTTTAAAAGTTAACCAGTTAGTTAATCAAAGTCAGTAGCTTTATTAGAAAAAAAGAAGACATGAAATAGGGGTAGAGAAGAGATGAAAAAATCGTCTACTTTGTAAATGCTAGATGCTAGACAGACGAGTTGACATTGGCGGTATCAGAGATTGTGGTGGCCTCGGAAGCCTCACTACCGCCCCCACTGCCACCATCAGCTGAACTGACTTCCTCAATGTCGGCTCCGGCTATGGGAACGAGGAGATTCTGTTTATTCATCAGATTGTACTTCAGCACAAATACTGTAAAGCGCTGACAGAGGGCAGTTTTCTCCTAAGATAAAAGGAAAAAGTTAGTAGGAGAATTAGGTGTGATGGAAGTAAGAAGAGGAATTTACTTCAAACTGATCGAAAAGGCTGCGATGATGATAGTAGGCATGTGAGAAGATTCGATACACACGACGACAAACGGAACTCAATTTGGCTAATGACGAATCCCTTATTGTGACTCGACTGGGGAAATATTTACTACTGTTCAGCAAGCAAGCTGCGCCGTCCAAGGTGTGACGGGTGTAATTGATGGCTGGACACTGTTAAAATAAGAGGAAATTTCATTATGAAAAAGATAAAACTGCCTCTTTTGGAGTCTTGTGAGCAGCACATAGAAAAATCCACTGTTCTGTCGCTGTCATTTGAGCACAGGTCTCAGGAGTGCAGTGGTCTTGAAGGAGGACGGCTAAACCGTTTAACTCCATGCAGAATTGACGCAGATGTTCGTACTTCCATACGCCAAGATCTTGACCCTGTGGCTCAGTTAAAATAGCATCAACATTTTTAAAGTCTTTTCGGATCATTTGTTGAATAATCTAAAGGGAATACAGATGAAGACGTCGAAATGGGGAGTACCTGTTGGACAGCAAGAACCGTGTCGACTTCATCAAAGACCTCATCTGGCCATTGACACCACTCCTTAGAAAAAATCGGTTGCGATCATAATAAGGTTACTTCTCTCTTTGTACCCGGACGATTCCGGCGAATAATTTCGGTCCCTGAAGACATCGCGGCAACCCGGCTCCAGAACCAAGGTGGGTGACGAATTTCAAAAGAGCCTCGGTGTTGCTCGTTCCAACTACCAAGTGTACTGCAAAAATAACATGATAACCCAAAACTTTGCACCTTTAGGGCATTATTAAGCCAATATGATAATTTTTGTGGACAATAAAAAGCACATGCTGTGCCTACTTTCATACTCTTTGTAATATTTGATAAAATGTCAACAACTAGGAGTTGAGTGAGCTGTAGTCGAAGTAGTTATCACCAATGGGCATTTAAAAAAGGTTAGTAGCTTTTGCAGAATTGAAATAGTCATAGGCTTTTAAAACGATTTCAACACATTTTATGCAAATGGAATAAATACTTTTAAGCTGGACATATCCAAAATCAAGTACCCATTGCAGTACATAGACATTTCACCTGCAATTCCACCAACACTTGCAACTTTGATGGATTTGTTTACCCCATTTGCATCATAAACTCAATGTTACTTTTGAGCAGAATACATTAAAGCAACCCTATAGTCCAGATATTAATTATCATTATATTTGCTTGCCCTTACCATTTCTGGAACTTTAACAATGTCTGATTACTCAATCCATATTAACCCTTTTCAGCTTTTCGATTTTTTAAATTTTAAAAAGCAATATTTGTAAGTTTTTTGTTTGGATGCAATTTGCAATTGATGTGTAAATTACATTTTTCCGTAAAGTCATTTTGCTGAGGTCTCTAAATTTTTCGATCATCGAAACCCCTAACCAAGTGCCTCGATTATTGGTTTATGGAGCCCTGTGAACGGGTTTAGAAATGGTGTCTCTCACATCTGGTGCGATAGATGTAACTTCTTCGTTTTGCATTTACTGTCCAATTTAGCGAATAAATGCCGGCGACAGCATAAAAGATCCAATTCTTAAAGTCGTGGTAAACCACCTTTGCTTTATATTATGCCAGGGTTATAAAAATGTCCCCGGTAGTAATGCCGGACAAAATCGGTATCGTCTATTGCTTAGCGATGGTGTTAAGTCTCATTCATGTAGGTTTTTAAGGTATAGCATTTTCTTTAGTTGCTATGCTTGCTACACAATTGAATCACCTCGTTGAAACTGGAAAGCTCTTAAATGGCAGCATTATACGCCTAAAGAAATTTGTCTGCAATAATGTTCAGAAGGACAAGTATGTGCATGTTGTGTTGAAGTATTTTTCTAGATACGTTGTCATTGTTCTCGATGTAGACATAGTCGGATTCGAGCAGCAAACACCTGTTCAAGGTGAGGTGTTGACTATTTCCATACATAATATTATCAAATTAGGTCGTCAACCCTTAAATCAAGTTGAAGACAATTCATCTGTGCAGTCGACCGCCTCGTCTTTGCCGGATCGGAATGTTGCAAGTACTCCACCGCGGTGCATTAATTCACCTTTTGCATCTGCCAGCCCTGGCACTCCTGGAGGTCGTGTTTTCAGTATTCAGAGCCTCAATCCCTATCAGAGCCGTTGGACGATTCGCGCACGTGTCTCTCAGAAGGGGACTATTCGTACTTGGCAGAGGAGTGGTCGGGAAGGCAAGCTTTTCAGTTTTACTCTTCTGGATTCCACTGGAGAAATCCGAGCAACCGCTTTCAACGCCGAAGTGGACAAGTTTTATGACCAAATTGAGGTCAATAAGGTCTACTACATCAGTAAGGCCTCACTGAAACCTGCCAATAAGCAGTTCAATACTACAAACAATGACTATGAAATGTCCCTAAACAGCGACACTCAAATCGTGCCCTGTGAAGACGGTGAAGACGTCTCCGTACCCTCCTTCTCGTTCAACTTTGTTCCTATTGGGAAGTTGGACGGTTATCAACCAGGTGACTTTGTTGACGTAGTCGGAGTGGTCCACGAGTCTGGCGATGTTTCTACGATCACCATTAGGTCATCCCAACGAGAAGTACAGAAACGGGAAGTGGGTCTAGTGGACGATTCCGGATGTCTTGTGCGCCTCACTCTTTGGGGTCAGGAGGCAGTCGATTTTGATGGTACAAATCACCCTGCATTAGTGGTTAAATCGGCAAAACTGAGTGACTTCAATGGGAGATCGTTGAGCACCACAACGCAGTCCTCTGTGATGATTGCACCGACTAGTATCCCAGAGGCGAATCGATTGAAAGGTTGGTATGAGAATGGAGGAGGCAGTACGTTCAACTTCGAGATGTATCGCGGAGAGATTATGGGTGAGGTTGGTGGCGAGGGCTTCAGTGGTACACTGGGCTCGCGGGACTGGAACCCTCTGTCTGATCTTGAGGCGCCCGGAGTGGGGGGTCAGGCTAAGCCGGACCTCTTCACCTGTAAGGTGAGCCCTGGTGGTTACTAAAAGTCTAACCTTGAAGTATATTGATGAGCATCCCTGGTAGTCTTTGGTCATTAATGCTTTTGCTAATGTCTTGAGTGAAAATTCTCTTGAAGAGAGTCATGTACTAAGGTTTTGTTTTTACATTAGTTACATGCGGATCTAGACCTCGAGGTTTAACTACTGACGGGTTTCTTCCGAATGATAGTAGGCTTAATACTTGTGGGACTTGGCGCTTTGACAGTATTAGACTACCAAAGTTGAGTTGCTAAGGTTGAATTAGACATTTCCTCTTTGTGTGTTTTTTTTATCCGTTGGGTCAGATTAAAGGTAGCCACATCCGAGCTTCCTATTTTCCACTAAACATTATTTTAGGCGGTGGTGACCTTCCTGAAGAAGGAGAACTTCATGTACCAAGCGTGCACCACTGAGGGCTGTCAGAAGAAGGTTTTAGACTTGGGCAATGGACTGTATCGCTGTGAGAAGTGCAACCGCGAGACACCCAACTACAAGTGGAGACTTTTGCTTTCAGTGAGTCTTTTTTCGCTGTTAAGCAAATTCTGCTTCTGAGTCATGCCACCTCTCATGGGCGTTGGTAAATTTTTGCCATTGTCAACCCAAACGCTAAATGCGCCCATAGTGGTCATGGGTTTTGTTTTGGGAATCACTTCTTCAACTCTATGATGAATATTTTCTCCCCTCACCTATACCACTGAATTCAGCCCTTGATTCGTATTTGTAATGCGTTTATCTAACGGCACGCCTGCCATAAATCGGTTTAGACAGATCCACCACTGACATCAAACATTCCTGCTGACCCATTTAACTGCTGGTCTTTCCTCTACAAAGAGGTTCTGGTGTTCTCTTTAACCCTTCTCCACGGAAGTGGTCGGTGTCGTTTAGACACTCAAGACTCACTCCGTCCGTAGTATCAGGTCTGCCACTATTGAGATGCTTAATCGGTTGATGGACATAACTGATGGCACCCACTGATGGTGATTGAGCTTTTGCCTCCGGAGTGGCAGTCAAGAAAATTTACAGGCCACAGTTTGTGGCTCTCCACACTTTGTAGCCCTTGTTTATCTAAATGGGAGTCCAGGATTCACATTATACGCTCTTCAAATACATGTTTCTTGTTAACTCGCACCCCGAATATGGCTAAACACTACCCTTACGAATAGAAGTTGTTCAGGCGGTTGACGTTTGGCTGCATTTAGCCAATCATGTGCAGGGGAAATGTGACCACCCAGGTGTTAACCACACCAAAGACGCGTCAAGTGGAAACTTTAAACTGTAAATCGAAATCAAACGTTTATTTTTCAAATAACTTTCTTCAAGGTCAAAATCTCCGATATGACGGGTGAGCATTGGATTACGTGTTTCCAAAACACGGCTGAAGTCATTCTTGGTCGAAATGCTGAGGAATTGGGCGCTATTAAGGAGTCTAAGGTGACTAATTTTTTGTCCTTCTCCATTTCCTCTTACTCCGCTTCGCCCCTACCCTAACTCCTGCTTCTGTGGTCAGGATGAGAATCAGATGGACAATGTCTTTGTCAATGCCATTTTCAAATCCTGGATCTTTCGACTCCGCGCCAAAGTGGACACCTTTAACGTGAGTAGGGTGCCTCTGTTTTATCGAGTCGATTTCCTTTTTTGGGGAAAAAGGAGTGTTTAGTGATTTGTGATTGACCTTGCTTCAGGATGAGTCGAGGTTACGAGTCGTGGCTATTGAAGCAAAGCCGGTATCCTTTGCGGACTACGGTAGGCAGCTGCAGAAGCAGATCGAGGCCATCATCCCAACTCTTCCTGCTGAGTTGACAATGGATGATGCAATGGACTGACTGTAAAGATTAAGATTTGTTTATATGTGCATCCAAACTTTTTAAAAAGGCAAAAAATTCGAAAGAAACATTGAGTAAACTAAGTATTTTTCAGACGAAGAACTTCTTGATGCTGTTAATGGATAGCTGGGATATAACTTCGGTGGTGTAGAAATTTAAATCAGTCTCATTTTGAAGCAGAAGAAGCGGATCCCTTCTGCTTCTTCGTTGTAGTAGTTGGCGATCTTCAGGCTTCTTCGCCTTCAGCTCCTGAGGAGGGGAGTGGTTTATTTACACTTGGCTAATCAAAAGGCCTACCTCTAGGCTACGTTTCAGCACAGCGGAATGGAGAATTTTCATTCTGAGTTCGGCGCAAGTGGCCTTCATTTCAGTTTCTTTCAAGTAATTGATTCGGTAGCTGAAATTGGCTTTTTTTGCCAGCTCAAGACTTCTTTCACTAAAAAGGGAAAGGAGTGACACATCAAACCGGTCGCGTGTGGAAGGTCTACCTCTCTTCGTTCGTCTTGGAGGCTAATTGAGCGACAAGATTATCCACGATGGTAAAAATCGCGTGATTTTCACGAAGTTTCGTCTCCTTTTTGGCGACGGCCGAGAGGAGGTGTTTTTCTCCCCTCGAGAGTTCTTCCAGACTCGGATCGGTGCCTTGGAGGAAGCGCAGACGATTGATCGAATTGTCATCTGGTGGGTTGTCAGCCAGGTCTTCCAGATGGAACAATCTGTCTCGAGCCGCTGAAGTCTGGTAAACGAAAGACATGGCGGTAACCTCCAACTGATTCGACACCTAGAAGTCGAGCGCTGTCATGTCTCCGAGGCACCTTGAGTGGGTTGCTCTGATGGCATATCTTTCCTCCCCACAAATCCATTCAAGCACGTCCAAATAACAAACCTGGTCGTTAATGTGGATTAGCTCCTCCTTCACCGCCCCCTTCTCCGCCACCTTCGATCGAACAATCTCCACTGTCCGTGCTTCCGTCAGATTTTCGTGGAGAAGTAAAGCAAGTTCACGATTCTTTGCTGATAAGGCATCTCGTGATTTTTTACCACTCTTTTCCAAATCCTCGAGGCTTTCCTAGACACATAGACAGGAAATGCGTAGGCACGCTTACCTTAGTTCGCTTCACTTTCATTTGGACATTCTCTAACTGCTGTTTGGTACAGTCACGCCTTTGGATGGCCGCTTTGCATTCATCTTGAAGCCGACTGATCCGCGTTTTCTCTTCATCTAGGTCTCGATTCAACCTCTGGAGGTTTGTACTGAACCACTTATTGTGAGATTCGAGTTCTCGATTCACTTGAGTCTAAAAGGGCATTCGAAGGGGGATACGGGGGCCTCCACATGCCACCATGCAGCAGAACGCGTTTACCTGTTTTGAGAGGTCACTCCGGATCACAATGCTCTCTTTCCTCAACCCTTCCATGCGTCTCCTGACGTCATCCATTTGATCTCGCTTATTTGACAGGCTTGATTGAAGAATGGCCACTTCGTTGCTATAGAGGTAGCACTTCTCCTCAATCGTCAGCTTCTTTTGTTGGGCCAGGTTAATCATGGTGAGACATTCATTCCTTTCCACACTTATGGCTTTGTAGAGGTTTCCCAAGTTTTGGAGCTGTCGCTGAAATGACATTTAGGTGGGCGAGTTGAAGATCGAATCTTGTCGGTCATACGTCTTGCATAATACGATAATCAAACCTGAAGGGAGAGTAGAGTCTTCCGATAATCATTGAGATGAAATTGTTGAAGTTTGAGGTCCCTCTTCACTTGTACGTAGTGTAGTTGAGTCTTTCGAAGGTAACGCTTCTTCTGGGATGTCTCACAAGACTTTGCCTCAACTAGGCGGTGGAGGTTTGTCACACCTCGCTTCTGTGCATCTATCTCAGCCAGAAGTTTAGTTGCCTCTTTCATAAGGACTCGAATTTCCTCTTTTTCGTGCTCTGCATAGTCGTTCTGGCGGGGCAAAAAGGCGGGTGGTTACCTGACCAAGGCACTAAATCCAAGAACACAAATTGTCAATTCACCTGTGCAAGAAGAGCTCCCGTCATCTGGGAGATTTGTGTCCTCAATTTTTTGCGTTCTTTCATATCCCTCTTTGAAGCCGCCTTTTTCATTAACTCCAAGTCTGCTGCTTGTACCTTCTTCATCTCTTCAAGGTACTTTATTGTCTCCTCGAGGTGTCGCATTTTCTTCTCTCCCCGTCTTATGAGTTTCCGTGTGACAGCACCGCTTTTTATCACCCGATTGGTTGACTCAAGGTATCGCCTCTTCTCTTCTGCCATGTGATTTAGATCCGCCTTCATCTTGGTGCTAGACAGGGTAAAAGTTAGGAAGGACTACAAATTTCCTCTCACATTGCTCCATTAAGCTGAATCTCTTCATCTTTGAGCTCCTGACATTGATGTTTCGCGGTGGATAGCTTTTCACTGAGGCTGGAAAGGTGACTTTGAAGTTTTTTATTTTTTCTAGGAGACGAAATATGTGCAATGAGTTCTGGCCTACGTAGTTAGACCTATTGATTCGGCCTCGACATCTGCTTTAGATTGTTCCAGTCTTGATTGCATTTCTGTTAGCTCTTTAATCTCGTCTTCCGATTTGAAGAGAACATCCTTCAGGGCTCTGGAAAAAGGAAAGACCAGACTTGAAGGATGAAATGTCCAGATGCCTTACGACAAGTCTCCTTCCAATCGAATGATTTCTTGCATAACTTCTTGAGGCCTCGATTGAACGGAGTTGAACTCGATCTAGATAGGAAAAAGAGGTCTGTAAATTGGTGGAAAGGAGAAGGTGGAAAGAAAAAATTGCAGGTATGACTGACAGTTAGAGAGTCGACAGATTTTTGGCACTCAGCCAACCGATTGGCCAGCTGATCTCTGCACTCGGAGACATCGTTGAGTTGACGATGCAGACGACGCGATTCAAGAGAGTACTTTTTGCGTTCTATCATTTCTGTGTCTACTGCGTGTTCCATCTCTTTGCGACGGGATTTTAGGGTCTAAGAAGTACGTAATCAAAAGATTTCGGGGGCTACTTTGGGACACCTCATCAAGAGATAAAGGACGAACCTCTGCGGTTGGAAATTTGGCCGCCTCTTTAGCCAGCGGTTTCATCTCCTCCTCCAGTGCAGCAATTTGGTAGGTCAGCGATTCAACATTGTGATCCGCCGCCATGACATCGTTGTAGGCTCGAAGAATTTGCTTGCGCAAGTTATCCGCCTCCGACTCGAAACCGTCTGGAAATTCGTTGCGTCGGCGCAATGCACTAGAAATACGCTTTCCTGCTTCTGTCAGTCTTACAAACATGTCTTCCAATTGAAGGGCGTTTTTCTGTGTTCTAAAAAGTCGATATTCACAAATTCACCATTTTTAAAGAAAATACTTTTTAGTGAGATTCACAAGATGTTGACATTTTCTTTTCAAATCTAAAGCTTCCAGAAGCCGGATTTCCTTTTTAGCAAGCAACTCGTCCAAACCCTGCAAGGCTTTTGAGGCAAATTCACCCAAATAGATGTCGATTTCTTCGGGTTTGGCTTCAAAAAAAGCTCCACGTAGTGAATCTCTTGGTTCGGCAATAAGTAGTATTTCTTCTCCCATTAGATGATTTTCTAAAATTCAGCGCTTTTTCACCAACTATGTTACAAAGTTGCTACAAGTGAAAAACAAATGCAAATATGAGATGCAATTTGTGGTTGTAGAGTTGCTGTTAAAAATAGATCCAACAATTTTTTCTGAAAGTATCAGTGTGCAATAAGCATCGCCAAAATACCTTAATTTATTTAAAATGTGAAAAGCATGAATGTACGGATGATCTGTTGGAGCAATATGTGTTACAGAAATTTACTTACCGTCCGGGGGATCCGGCACAAAGTTGTTTGACTTCCCTTAGAAGTACCTACTCTTCAAAATGGGGACAAACAGGACTAGCCTTCAAGGTGCGTACAAACAAATGTCAAGATCTATGGGGGGAAACACAAACTGCTTTGAGTGCAAAATGCTTAAGTTGTGCTTCACCCATGCCTGCTAAACATTTGTGCACAAAAAAATTTAGACGAATATAACAGGTAATAAGTGCAGTCTCATTGAAGCAAACGTACTTTCTCTTAGGGTAATACATTAAACAAAAGTGGAAAATTTTTGCATTTCTTTGCTTTGAATTGTGTATATCCTGAAAAGCTTTATTTGTATTTAGCGGGTTACACCCGGCTTGTTTGCTGCACAGGTTGGTGTGTGCTGTGTTGCTAAGTTATGGGGTTTGTGGTTATTTCTCCCAACTGCTTTTTTCCTCGTTCTTTCTTGCAGCGATTCCACGTGGCAAACAGCATTGCTTTGCTGTGGCAACCAGAACTTCAGATGATCATGTCAAACCTTGCTTGTTTTTCATGTGACCCCTATCTTAAATTACTGCTTACTGCTTCGTATAATTCGTTATGCATTTAAAATTAAAATCTTTTTTTACTACATTATGTTTATCTATCTTATTGTTTTTGGGCTGGTAAAATTGCTCATTTTTAGTTGCTCATGCATGATATTATGTATGAACGCTAGCCTGGGTTTATTTTTTCTGCTTTAATTCATATTGGGCTTTTATCGCCACAAATCTGCTTTTATTGCAGCCATCTCGAGCTTGAAGTGCCCATTCTAGGAACTACACTATGAATTTCCTTAGACACATTCGCAAATTCTCCCTCCCCCTCACTGTCAGTCATCGTCTCTTAATATCAAGTGCAGCGTCTGCTTCAAAGCAGCTCGAACGCGACTGCTGGAGCTGTCTCAAACGTATTAGCTGTCAGACCTTCTTCTGCGAGTGTGGCAAAGTTCAGTCTTTCAGTCCCTCATGGAACTACTTCGACTACTTTGGTTTCACCAAGCCCACTATGCGTATTGACTTAAATGAGCTTTCCCGCATGAAGCGCAAACTCCAAATGGCCTTTCATCCTGACAAATTTGCTCGCTCTACCAAGGTCCGTTCCCACTCCTATTCTTCTGTAAAACAGCTCTAAATTTGAACTCGTCAATTGAATTATTTTTATAGGAGGAGCGAGAGATCGCAACCACCGTCTCCACACAGATTAACGATGCATTCACGGTCCTCTCCAATCCGATCACACGAGCTGAGTACATTTTAACGCTTAACGGAAACCCCTGCTCTTCGGAAGATGTCGCTATCACCGATACCGCCTTCCTCACCGATGTGCTGGAGGCCAACGAACACGTGGACGAGTTGGCCGAGATGGTGAAGACGGAAGAGTGTAAACAGACGTTGGAACGTGTTCTGGCTGCACTTTACGCCATCGTGATGACACGATGGGGTAGGGAGATGGACCAATTGACCCGATTTATCGACGCGGCGAACTGGGAAGCCGCGCACCAAGCCATCTCGCGTTTACGTTACTACGAACGCCTGAAGAAGCGCCTCCAGGATCTAAGACCTGATTTCGCAACGAGAGGCATTAGAACCCCCTTCAATGGTAGGGGAGTTGACTGTGATTCGTCTCTGGGATAGGCGTCTACTATGACAGGACTGTCTATGTACAATAAACCCATCCCTCCGCTCAGACCCGGTTTTGCCTCCTTTGAATAAAAATAAACTTGAGTGTTTTCATTTTTAATATACATCCACAATGAAATTAGAGGTAAAACAAAGTCAAAAACAAGGATTAGTAGCGATTTGTACAGAACTGTTCCGTAGATCTCGGTGGAGAAGATCGATTCGAAGTGGGAGTCGGGTCGTCGTTGTGGTCTAAGCCTCCACCAACCAATTGGGAGTGTGGTGGAGGAGTGCAGAATTCTGTGTGCATTTCTTCCTCTTCCCCAGAGATAAAGGAGGCAAATTCTGCCTCATTTACTTCATATTGGCAGGGGTAACTCTGGAGGGTGTCATCCATCTCCATCTGAACTTGGTCTTCCATCCTACTTGATACAACTTTGAGGCCGCTGGAATCATTACTAGACGCAGAGCTGCTGCAACCGGATTCCACTGCTATAGGGCTGTCAAACGCCTCCTGAACCTCGGCCGCATTAGGACTGGTTTCAACCCCTGCAGTTGGGTAGTTTGGGGACTCCAACAAAACGGGAGCATCAACAGGAGAGGTGGGGTGGTCCGTCGCCTCGTTTTCGGAAGATTCAGCAATCTCGTAATCGACGAGCTTCCTAACCTCAGAAGGACTACCTCCACTGGACACGAAGCGGTTTGATTCGTCTAGCGGAAGCTTTCGTTTCGAAGATGCAGGAACATCCATGGCTTCCTCACGAAGAAGTTCCACTGAAAAGTGAGTTTCCGAAGAGAATGAGACATCAGAAGAATAGGGACCACTGTTCAGGGATCCTCTAGTAAGCCCAGGTTCCGCGAACTCCACCGAACTTTCCACGTCCTCGGAGGTTTGTAAGGGACTCTTTTCTGACGATTTAACCCCTGTTCCAATTCTCTGAGGTAGAATGATACTGGAAGGAAGAGGACTTTTCTCCAAAGCCTGGACTAAAGCTCGTTCCGAGAATTCATTAGGATTCGAGGAAGCTTCCAAGGATGCCCCAGAGATAGGAAGTTCTAATTCATTGTCATCTAGTACACCCGTATCCTCTGATGCTCTCCGACAAGCCTCATCACTTGAATGCGGAATGACTTCAACAGCGCGAGACTCCATTGAGTCTGATGCTTGGAGGGGACCTTCTTTTGACACCTTCGCGTTCAAGGTTCCTCTAACTACATCTGTAACTTCAGATGACTCCACAACGAGAGCAAATTCCGGCTCTTCGACAGCCGCAGCATTCATCTCTGTGCGAGGAGATTTTTGGGGTTCTTCCAAGGCTTCATCACTGGAATCTGGATGGACTTCAGCAGTGCAAGACTCCGTTTCCTTCAAGGGTGTAGCACCCCCACCTGGGTCCGCTTTTGATAAAGCTTCAGATGACTCTTCAATGATTGCAAACTCCAATTTATTGACAATTTGATCGTCCATTTCTGGCACAGATCCTCGTGGGACTTCTTCCACATTCTCACTGAAACTTGAGGAACCTTTAATAGCACAAAACTCCATGTCCATGTCTGACGCCACCGGATTCTGGAAAGGCTTCAGTAAAGCTGATGCTTCCAAAGGACTTTCTTCCAAGATTGACTTTTCAATCTCGTCTAAGTTCATTTTTTCTGATGCCTCTTGAACTGAGGGTTTCGATGATTCTTGGATGATTGAGAAGTCCGACGCTTTGACAACTGGAGCATTCAACCCTGTCCTGCAAGACCTTTGAAGGTCTTCCAGTGTTTCATCACTAAAAGTCGAGTCCACATCAATGGCAGAATCTTGGAGAGGCCTCATTAAAATTGGTGATCTATCTACGTCCATTTGCGACAAGGGTTCCGCGGACTCTTCGATGGGAGTTAACTCTGGTTCTTTGACACGCAGAGCATATGTACCAGTGGAGAGAGGTCTTTGAGGATCGTCCAGCATGTCGGCAATGGAATTGCGACTATCTACAGGTGACTGCACAGCCATTTCCGATGAGGCGGAATTGTCAGATGGTTGCACTGAAGCTGGCTCTTGAGGGGGGCTTTCTTTTGAAGGTGTTGAATTCGAGGAAGATTCCCCAACCTCATTTACGTCAAGCTTTGGTGAGACATTGCCCTCTGAGGCTTCCGAAAATTCTTCAACAACAAAAAATTCCGGTTCACCAGTAATTAAAGCACGCGTCTCATTCTCAGGAGGTTTTGACAAATTTGCCGCTTCAAAAGGCACTTTTGATGGCGCAGAATTCGAGGAAGTCTCTGTTAGAACTGGTGCATGGGGAGGGCTTTCCTTAAAACTTCCCTTGCTTGATAACTCCGCAGAAACCTCTATAAGGCTGCCTTCACTTTCGTCTCCAGTAGCCTCTTCCTCCTCCACCGAACCTTTAGGAAGACTTCCTTCCGAGGCAGAATTCTTTGGAGACTCTTCTGAATCAGGCTCTAGATCCATTTCCATTGGTAGTGATTCATCCAACGTCGCATCTTCTTCTCCGATCTTTCGATCAACCACTAAAAGGGTGGATGAAGAGCACTCACCTTCGCTAGTTACAGAAGCTGGAAGTGGCTTGGGTAGTCCGATACATGTGGAGGGAAGGGTAGACAAAGGTTGGATGGGACTGATGGCCGCTGTCAGCGCTGAAATCTGTGCGATGTCATTCACCGATGCGGCTAGTGGATTGGCAACGAGAGTCGGATTGCCGGGGGCTTCAAGAACCGCAGACGTACCACCGCTATCCATCACACAGTAAGTGGTGAGCACGTACTGTTGCTGTTGTGCTTGTTGTTGGGGCATCTGTTCCGGTACCGCCGGAGTCACTGAGGCATCCAGGGCTGCTGAAAGGATATCAAAAGTCTCTCCCTCTTCTTCTTCTTCTTCTTCCTCCTCCTCATCCCCCTCTTCTACCTCTTCCTCATCTTCGCTTTCTTTATCTGCCTCCGTTGTGGAGGTTTCCAGTGTGTTGGAAGTAACGGACTTATCGTCCGAGGAAGTGCAGGATGGAGAAACTAGACGCTGAAGAGGTTGGACAGTGGCCATCTGCTTCACCGTAGTGTCAGTCGTGGAAGTATTGGAGGGCATTTTTGCCATGGACATGTGACCACTACCAGTGGATTCCACTTCCAACGGCTGAAAATCACCGGCGATTGATGAAGTGGGGCAATTTTCCGTTGGGTCGACCTGAAAGAACAAAACAGTGGACTCCTAGTTGATCAAAAAGTTGGGGGAATCGTGCTAAAGTTTGACTCACCGAAGCCTGTAAAGACTCAGCTCCTTTGCTCAACTCTTCCTTCTCAGTACTTTCCACTTTAAACTCCTCCACAACATTAGGATCTATCTGTAATGGGAGAGTAAAATAATCCAAATTCAGACCACTAACGCTGGAAATGCATCGCTACACCGCATCACAACTACATCTCACCGTCAATCCAGCTCTTCTCATCCAATTATTTGCATAGAATTCAGAGGTGGGATCAGCAAAAGCGAGAAGCATTTTACCATGGTAGCCGTCAGTGGCATTGTCGAGACGCCGATGCGCCCACCGTCTCGCCCATTCACCCAGGGGCTCTACAAAGGTGAGAAGCGAGAGGACACTCTCCATTGTCATCACGTCACCACCGTAGGCGTCACAAAGCTGTGCCAACTCATCCTTCCTGAGTTTATGGAGAGAAAAAAAAATGCCGTAGTGGAGCTATTTGAGAGCCAAAGGACAAAATTGATAAGTGATACCTGACTTACTCAAAGATGGCCAAGGGTCCATGAATCCCCATCCCAACTGGTTCGGTGGAATCATAACGCAGTTTTGAGAGGGCATGCAGAGTGGCGACCTGTTGAGAGGTCATCTGCTCCACCAGTCCATGGTAGACGCCTTGTCCAGTGGACTGGGGTTTAGGCGTCAGAAGCTGCCTCAAGGCGAGGGGATAATCCACAAGTTTTCGCTGATCCTTTTCACTCTCCCCCTCTTCCTTATCTTGAATCCAGGCACGGTCACCACAAGGCTTGGCGTAGATTTTACCCGGTTCAGTGGTCTGTAAGAATGAGTGGAAGTGGTACTTGACCAGGCAGGCCTCAAATCCCTTGGTAGTAAACCCAAAGTGCTCGCATTCCTGGATGACCCAGTAGGTGAACACGCCGCATAACAACACTACGGACTTCATTTGATGAACAGAAGGAAGACTCCTGCTATGAATGGATAGATCGGGGACGAGTTACAGCATGCCAATTAAAGTTCGGACTATTATCAGAGAGGTATATACCGTGGATGCCAGAACCCCCAGACACTCAAATTACGGGAGGGCTATTTAAATGGCGTCAACTAGCCCTTCTAACCCTACTTCCACCACCCCTGATTTCGCTGGTCAGGTATTTTCTGTAGTAGATAGTTGATACTACCCAGCTCCTATCTAGGCTAAGAATTGCGCAGCTTCCACACTGTTTTGACAGTCGCCCCAAACTAGTCACTCACATCGAGATAAACGATAGTTTGATGTCCCTGCCGGCCATAACGAGCCAGAAACTTGGCTCTGGCTGCCCGAGCGGCATGTTTAGCCTGAGCCACGACCTGCCCCGGGCTACTTCTATCAGTGATGCAGTCTGGAAAGGTCCATGTGTCCTCGCTATGGACGCGGTCGGGTAGTGGGCTGACGGAGGGTCGGCCACCATTCTTTCGACGTGGTCTCGATGGTCCTGGTGGTCGTGGCGGTGGCGTTGGAGCAGAGGTCTTTTTTGTCACGCCGCGGCGTTTGGATTTGCGAGAACCACCGCGAAGAGTGGAGGAGGAGATAGTGGAGGAGGCGGGGGAGAGGGTGAGAGAGGCCTCTGCTAAGTCGATCTCATTGGTTTCCAAATCGATTGTCACCACATCTGTAAGGTGGAGGGAGGAGGGCAAACATGAATGAAAGGGGAATGAGGGTGGTTAAGGGAGTAGGGAAATCCACTTACCACTGTCGTTGCGACCGCAGGTTGACTGGGTCTTAAAAGAATAAAATAATGTCTTGATGAGGTGTTTCTAATCATTGATGGACAATCGCCCTATCCACCTATATTTATCGCGTATGTGAAATGTTTCCTTCGCTGGATTGATTGACCTTAAAGTGACCAAGTGAATGAACAATGCCCTTGACCTAGGAATACCCACATTTTTCCCACATCCTAAAAATACTCTGACGACTTAAAACAATTTAGCCCAAACATACTAGGGGACTATCCACTCGTCCAACAGAATCCTCCACCTCTGGAACTAGGAGTGGTGGACTGCTGGCGTAGCGCGGCAACTTGCTGGCGGAAGAAATCGAGGCAGATGAGGGCCGGCGTTTTCGCACTGACAGTATTGGAGAGGATGAAGATTCTGTCGCTGTTCTCTCCCTCTCCTCTTCGTCTTCCAACACCTCCACCTCTTCTATTTCTTCTTCCTGCAACTTGGGTGGAGTAAAGATGCTCCCTGTTGATGTTGTGGAATATGGAGCCGTGGAAGTGCTGGATAAAAAAAACAGTCAGAACGGATGGATAGATGTCGAACATGGTTTAAAAGGTTACTTTGGTTTTGCAAAATAGCACATTCAGAGGTCAAGATGGAGGTCGAATCCGAGGTCGTTAAAAGGTGGTGTATGTTGTTTATTGGTGAGCAGCTGAGCATCAGGTCAAAGAACCATAACGGGTTTTAAGTATTCGGAATGGGTAAAAATTCTCAGACTTAGGTTTTACACAGATTTATCGTCTACAAATAACTTCTTTCACTACCTACCACATCCTGTTGCGTGTACAAATCTATCAGCTCTGTTGCTTGCAGTCCTAACGACACGGGCAGATGCAAATGCTCCACGACACACTTGCCATTTGGGTATGGTAATGCCAATTTTTGGCAGTTTGGAATGAACCTCTTTGAGGACAATATTCAGACGTCAAGGTTGGTTAGAAAATGATACTACGGATTTGTAGACATTTGAAAATCAAAAAAAACACCTCCTTCAGATAGATAGCGCACCTGGTTTGAGCAAAATGCTGATTCTGACTGTCCTGGCGGTGGTGATGGACATGCTGTTGCTGCTGATGACGGTGGTGGTGTTCCACGAATTCACCTCCAATCTCTTCGTCAGTCAGAGGGCGACTCATTTTTAGGAGTTCAGTGGAGAGTTTGCGAAGACTGTGTGGTGTCATCAGCTTCTCAACGAAAGCAAGTAACTATTCAAAAAGATGACACTCATATACATTTGGGAACGCGAGAAGATGGCCCACAAAGGCAAAGCAGGAAATAATTCAATAAAAAATTTGATAAAATCACAGGTGCAGACGATTCTTGAAACTCCTATGTAGTTTAAAGAATCCGATGTAGGAAATATGGCGTTTATATGAGCCAATATGTTAGAAAACGGTCGATATGGGAAACTTTTATTCACTATAAGTAGCAGCTGTCATGATCATTATTCCGTTTAAGGTAGCGCAGCTAAAGGGCATCAAATTCAAGCGATTCTCGTTCTCAATAGGAGTCGCAATTAGCCACACTAGGAAATATTACAAATGGATAAAAAAGCAAAGCACGTGGAAAACCTCAAGGCACCTAGGCAATTCAACTAACCTTACGCGCCTTCTGATAGTAAATTGTATCGGGTGGATTATAGCACATCGCATTTTGACACATCAGCCGAACATCTGCCAAATACTGACTTGCAGTTGAGTAGTAATTACGCGATTCAAGTCGGGAGTACATTGTGCCTAAATCCATTGGATGAGATATTATCTAAAAAAATGCAAATTGGTCATACTAGAATATGCATTTCAGAACAAGATATAAATTTTTTTTTGCTGAGATCTTACTGAAAAATAGTCCGGAGCAATGTCTTCAGTAACAGGATTAGCAAAAATACCCTTGTGGTCGCGCTTTACACAAAGTCGATGAATTTCACTTAGAACGACATAAAGTGAATAACTCGTTCTGTAAGGTGGATCACTTGAGGAATCTAAACAAGGATCCGAAAATGTAGCTTAAAGGGATAAATACGATGTTATTTTAACCAGAGGAAAGGCTTACTTTCAGGTTCCTCGTGCTCCATTTCCTGCTTGGAGAGGGAAATTTTGAAGCGCAAAGAGCCAGAAGAGTGTTCGGACCGAAAAGCACGGTTCTAATAAAATGAGATTACTAGCAACGCAAAACCTTACTTCAGAGAATGACATTCCGTGTAAAAATCTCTGAAAAGTAAATATTTCGGTAACAGAGCACAAGCTAAAAGGCCGAGGGTAGAGTGAAAACTGTACTATCATATCCGTCAAGAGAACGTTAAGACAGCAAAAAAATTTGACGTAAACAAGACGGTCATGACTGACTCAAGGCAGAATAACAGATAGAATGCCAGTAGAAAGCAGGGAACCAAATATTCTATAAAGTTATTTGAAAAATCCCCCCTACTATTCAAGTGACCTTCACGATTATCATGAAGCTAGACTGGAAACGTACCCCGTAGGAGAATCATCTAGGCTACTTTGGCATAAAACCATAATCCATCAGCCTACAGCTGATAATCTACATTATCTTATTTGGAATGATTAAAGCATTTTAGCATTTTGGTATTTTTTCCGGTCTTGCTAAAACATTGCTACACAACTTACGATTTAAAAAAGCCCCAATAAACCATAGTACGCACTTATAATTCAGGAAAACCGCTTTATTCTAGTGCAAATAATCAGTTTATGGTGTGTTAATCTTTAAAAGCGGAAAAAATTCAAAAGTTACATTTGCCTCTCTTCTTACAACCAGTTGATATATTGAACAATTTCATTGGTCCGTTTTGTAGTTTGTGTGTATTGGCGGTTGAGTCACCGACGCTCACACTTCTGGGGTGCAGGTTAGTCAGCTGCAGGATTTTAAATTATATGCGCAGATGGTTTGCTCCACGCATTTTAGTCGTAGTTATTAGTTACATTGAAAGCTGGTTGTTTAATGACGTTAGCGGTTCATTTTTTCCAGCAACTGCAAACATAATTTATCTTCGCACTTGGAATGAATACGGGAACACTCTCCGCTCCTGACTATAACTCCTCATTGGCGAAGGTCTACAGTGTCCTTCAGGAAGCCAGTCTCACAGACATCTGGAAACTAGAGTCTTTCACCACCTCTCCCTACCCTGAACTCGTCTGCTATCACGACTGTCAGATCTCATCTGTCCCGGCACGTCTCGAGTACCGCACTACCTACAACGAAGCTTTTGCCGTACCAACATTCTTATTTCGGGGCTCCCTAGATGACGGTAGTCAGGTACCGCTCTCTTATTTTTGGCAAAGCTTCTCCAAAGCATCTGATCACTCTCAAAGCGATCTCTGGTCCGTCATTAGCCAAACCGAGCATAAAGCCACAGGAGTTCCCTACTTCTTTCTCCACCCCTGCAAAACTCGGACGTTAATGCTTGACATCAACCCACCAACTGCCACATCTTATCTTATCTTCTGGCTCTCCTTCGTTGCTCGATATTTCGATATCTTTATCCCGCCATCAATCACTTTTATTTAGTATTAAGGTCATTCTATTTATACACACTCCAAAGACGGAAAGCAACAAAAATTACTTCCTCGGGACCTTTTTAGGTCTTCGGCCCATTCCATAGTGGATGGGTGTGTCATCCGTTAACGACACGATTTTTAGTCCGGACAGCGTCATTCCAGATAGAGTAGACTAAGCAGGATGCGTGAGTGAAGAATCAGTGAATACCACTCGATTAGAGCCGATTCCGCGCATCTTCACTCGTACATCCTTGATGCCCAACTTCTGCGCCTTCAGGCCGATGGAGATGCCAACGGTCTGCGCGGCGACAGTAGTTTGTTTTCTGGCATTACGAAAGCCCTCACAGCCGCAGCTGGTAGAGCACAGACTGCGACCGTTACAGTCGGTAAGGGCTACCTTCGTATTGTTGCGAGTGGTTGTGACATGCACAATGGGCAGTTCGTGATAAGCGCGGTCTCCGTACATGGCATGCAGGTCCACCTCGTAGGGGATTCCGTGCCCAAGTCTAAGTAAGGTAGTTAAGAATTAAAAACGCTTACACGGAAAGGTCACGTCGTTTCTCACCTGTCTGGCCTTCTGTGACAACATCTGAGGGCATCCCGGAAACGGTGGGGGTCGTCGAGGTTGACTCACGTGCTCTCAGAATGTGCTGCAAGAATGGCAGTGAGGTCTGGAAGAATAAACATAGATGGAAGACGGAGAGCAGAGGAGAAGAGGCATTCAGAGGTGAGCACATCAAGGCGGAACCGACGAAGTATTGCATCTCGTATGTCCGCTCAAATATCGCTTCAATCTCATCATAATGCACTTCGTTCTTATGTAAATATAAAGCAGAACAACAGGCCTTTTTTGAAGGAGTCACTAAGGCCGCATTCTAGGGAATTTATGTATTGTTACGGCGTACCAACTTGCAAATCACAATTGAGAAGTCGCTTAACACGCATAAAAAGTTGCAAAGTTGGTATTTCTTCAGTGGAATTTAGACAGCACAGTGTGTTTTGGTAAGTAGTTGTTCATTAATTATATTAATTCATGATGCTTGAACTACATTTGGTTTTATTCAAGCATATGACCAGATTACCCGAACTTTGAGCGTGAATAAGAAAAAAAAGTTTGTACCGTACAGCCCATGCAGTTTAATCTCGGGTCTTATACAAGATAGAGTACAGTTAGTATGCGAGCACATTCAACTTAAGAAAAGAACATTTCACCTCACCAAAGTAATCCTACCGCTAAAGAGGCTGCACATCATATTTGACAGCCGCATTATTCAAAGGGCGCTGTTGACAAAGAGTTTCGGAAAACAACATTTAGGGTGTTTTGCAGTGACCCTTTACTGAAAAAAGGCGAAATAAAAACAATTTTTTGACCCTGCGACCACCGCATATTAGGTTTGCTGCCCAGTGTATGTATTCCATTTACGTTTAAACAATGCTAAATCACATTCTTTTTACATTAATTGCGCAGAGCCCCATAATGTTTGTTCCAGCAACAAAATCGACGTTTTCTAATTATGCTTAGCATTTTTATGCTGTTTAGTCGTTCTTAGTCTTTTTGAATGCCTAGAGAAGTCATGATATGAGGACGGGAAATATATTGTCGGTGAACAAAAGGGCTGAGGGGCCTCCGACATTTACTGGACGTCATGCCACCTAGTAGAACTACAATGAAGGAACCTCAAGTCCTAGATCAACAAAACGGAGAGCTAGACAATTCACGGAAGCATTACACCCCCTCCACTTGATGAAGACGTCTTTCGAATCCCCTTTCCGCCGGAAAAATAGCATACAAACATGGCCACCCACTACACCCCGTCCTCCTTCGTCCCATCCGACTTCAGATAACCTACAATCTGAGCAACGGGGAAATACGAAAAAGAAGCACCAGTACCGCACAATGAACCGAGGTTCACCAAAATAAAACAAGGATCCCCACGGGACAACAAAAACAATAAGATCAGGTATTACACCGGAATATTCGTTCCGCCTCTTCCCTAGTCATTACTTGCGAAGACAACAGCTCCACTACCACCGACACCGGCACCGACCGCTACTCTGTGCTTCTTCGACTGCTTCTTTTTTGTCGCAGAGTTCGCAAACAACTCTCGGTAGATATCGGACCGCAAAAATCTGCAATATGATGCCGACTTCATTAACTGAAATATCTGCTCCTCCGCCTCCTCAAAGCAATACCGATCCGCATGAGAGGCTCCCGCACCAACCACCACAGGAGAGGTTGCATCAGCGTTGAGTGAAAGCGGCTCCAGCATAGTCCCTTCCATCAGAGGTTCCATTCCTCCTGTCTCCTGATTCAATGGGGGCAGAAGACGAAGCAGACCCAAGCGGCGAAACACCGCCTCTCGAACTTTGCTGTCAACGTTTACGGGTTCTGGAGCTGTCAGAGAGAGATAATGAGAGTATATCGACTGGATCCTTTGGGGGAGTTCCCTCAACGGTGCGCTTTTTAAGTCCTACAAGCCAAACGAGAGAGGGTTAATGCAACGGTTAAAAAGTGATAAGAAATGAGGTGGTCTTACCTGACACTCCTGCCAGAACATGAGATTCTCCGCGGCGAACTCCTTCTCCAACCAGCACTGGAATTTGGCACGGCCAAGAGGATCTTTGAGGAGTTCCTGGAAGGAGAAGGACCACCGTTTGACACGTGGTATTGAGAGTTCGCCGAGTTGGACGGCACTGCCGAGACCACTACCACCAGCACCAACGGTGGTACTGGAGCCCCAGTAGTTCTCGGCCGCGGCTGTAACGTTGTCGGACAACCAGGGATTGCTTTGCCCTGCGAGATCCATTTGAACATCACCTATGTGGTGGAGGAAGGTAATCAAGTAGTTGATCTCATTGCGAGCCTTCAAACTAGTTTAAACTCATCCACCGGTCTTCCATACAATCAAACCACCCATTCATTCAGTCGTCCATTCTCCCCGACTTTTTTAACCCATTCAGCCGTCAGTGTGATCACCTCTTACCAGAAGCCCCAGATAGTGCGGAAGCTGGTGGCGGCCCAAGAATGAGGTTTACCACAGCACCATGCGTAATATTCAAGCCCGCACTGGTTCTTCGAGGCAACAAAAGATGATGTGCAGTAGATACTGCAGATGTAGCAGACGCAGCTCCAGATATATCTACACCGCTGGTAGTGGCCAAGGCCTTTGAAGAGCCCACAGCACCCCCACCACTTCCTCCGCCACCTCCATCATAGCCACCACCAGAAGTCGATGTCGTAGCACAGTAGAGCAGCATATCGAAGTCGAAGTACTGGTCACAGTAGTTCTAATTCACGACAAACACTTGCGTTTAAATGTTTTTATCAGCAAATAAAGAAAATACTGCAACATCTCCCACCTGAAGATTTTCAATGGCTTTCGAGGCCTTAATTCGTTTGTGCTCCGAAGCACGAAGTTTCGTAACTTTCTCTGCAGGCGAGAGTCCCTCCAATACAGAGAAAAGAAGATTGCCCGCAACGCCACTAGCAACAGGAATGGGAAAGGTGACGGGATGTAGCCGACCAGCGGCCAAACCCGTCTTTTTTGGACGTTTCGCGCGGCAGAGTTTACGCATATCTACCTCTGTGGTGTTAACACACCCTGGAGCAGGTCGATGAACGTTCCAGAAGGCTGCCTCCTGAGACTCCAGTACCACACGCTCCAGTTTGTCGCGTTTTTTGTCAACTTTCATCTCAGCTTCAGCCTGCGGAGCGTAATATCATGTGGATGCTGTTGCAGATCCCACTTAGAAGCAGGATTCAAGTTAACTCTGAGGAACCAATCTACTATGGCACTGTGGATATACTATTTATAGGGGCAGGTGCTAATTTAGTAGACAACAAGCAACCTGTCGGCACTAAAAACACTCAGAAAGCGTTAAAACTCCGCCACCGCCCAAAGAAGCCAATACCCAAGTTGTTTACTCCTCCATTAAATGTGAGGTGAAAGTCACGGTGGTCAGCGAAGGGGCAACTCCGTGTCAAATGCCATGTTACATGAAAAACGGATGACAGTAAGCTTCAAAGGCAATTACTTCGTTGTTTTTCACTTCTTTCACGTATGCGTCGCGCACAGAGGAACATTTACCGACTAACTGACCAACCGTTTTGTACTTCAGGATTGTCTCCAAAGAAAGAAGTGACTAATCACTCAGTAGGTGAGAAGTGCGTTTTACGATAGGAGAGGGAAATATTCCTGTCCACAATCCCCACATCTCCACGTAATCTCCATAAGTTATGATTAGCACCTCCTCCAGCGATATTTGTAAACTCGAATTTTGTTGAAATATGAATATACGATTTTAAGAAGATACCTAAAACTAACTTTCCATTCAAAAGTACATTTTCAACGCTAGAAGACGCCTTAAAGGATTGGATAGCCATTTCTGGAGTGTAAAAAGGGAATGATTGGATGGAATTGAATGTCTCGTACCTGCATGTAGATGAACTCCCACTTGTGATAGTACAGACTCTGCAAACTGGCCAATCTCTCTGCCTCGAAATCAGCCAACTCGAGACGATGCTTATTCTGCATCGTGCGTTTGCACAGGTAGACGGCGTAATCGACCGTGTCCGCCTCCGGGCAGCGTGAGGGATAGAGACAGGGCGCCTGAAAGCGATAGTAGGTGTGACTGTCATTCTTCACCGTCATCGCGTGGTCATCAATGGGAAAGAGGTAACCCATTGCAGCGATGCGACTAGCCAGGTGCACGGCCTCGGCCACATCATCAGCGCCAGCGTGCACCATGAACCAGAGCACTATATCGCTACCTAAAGAATGAGAGAAAGAGAAAATGAGGGTTATCGTCAGTGAAGCATTCACAATAGATGTTAAGAAGTGCGTTTTCCTCGCTGATGCCCATCACTCAACCTTGTTCCGGTTTGCCAGAAGTTTCCATTTTTGCGCCTACCTTCTAAACGTTTTGAAGCTCGTGCTCCCATGCAGTTCGCCGGGTACAGCCAGACTTTAAACTTGGGATCAAGGGCAATAAAAGTACCATAAAAACACGCGAGGCTGGGATGACTCCGCAATCCCAATGTTCTCCAGCAGACGCGTACGCACCCACCCTCTCTTAGCATACGTATAGCAGTCGAAGGAGAAAAAACCCCGCACTGAGGACTTCAACATTTAAGTAGTCCATTGAAAGCTTGACGAGATCCTTGCTAAGACACACACATACGCATGCAGTAGCTATTTCTCGACTTTTGAATATGTTGTGTCTATGGAAGTCAAACGATGCCAGTCCCACACAATTATGCCCTTACCCAGCTGCTACTCTTCAAATGTCATTTTTAAGTACGGTCATGTGATTGTCAAGGAAAGGCGTTGATCAGGATCGGGAAGAAGAGCGTACAAATAAGGAGGGCGGGGACGTATTTTCTATCAGTTCTAAGGTTCTCCAACGTGGTCACCTTACGAGTAGGATTTGCCATATGCAATCTTGAGTAGGTTTGTAAGAACAGGTAATTCTCCCGGACGACTAACCAGTCAGAGTTGCTTTTGAAGAAGTTGAAGAAGCTTCCAGCGTACTACTCCCAGTTGTGATGCATCAAATAGGTGACCCGTAGGTGTAATTGTTTGGAATTCATGAAGTAAACGTGTCCCACTGCAATCAATCTCGCACACACACACACAAAGGTAAACGGCTTCGGGAGTTGGGTTGTGTGCACCTTTCTAAAAGCTGAGTGGGCAGTTTGCCTGGGGACAAACAGCGACCATCAAACGACCTCTCTTCCGCGTCAGATGGCAGGTGATACCCATTTGCCCAGTGGCATTAACCGAGAATTCTCCGACCTCAACCAGACAGGCTTCAAGTTGTTGTCGCATCGCTCGAGCTAAACATCAACAAAAGTTGTCCTTGGCGCTTTCTTCTCAAATCAATGTGTAAATACCGACACCTAAATAATTTGCGACATGATACAAAGTAAATCTCATAGTGAAACGTCCCTTGTTCAGGAGTTCATCACTGCAGCCAACCTCATAAACTAAAGCACTTGCGGGTGGTGACCTTCTCCAAATGCCATACAATCAAGGCAGGTGAACACGGTTGTTAACTTTGCTGAATCCCAGTTGCATCTACCATCTTCAACCGAAACTTAACGGGTGTTTAAAATTGGAGAAAAAAGGAAGATCGAAAAGTCAAGACTAACGCCTCGATTGATTAACGCCTACTCATACTTTGAAATGCATGACTACAGAGAGCTTGGCACACACAAATCCCCTACAAGGTGGTAAAAGTAATTGCCGTGAGACGTATCACAAACCAAGCGAACGCTTTGGGAAATTGACGCTAAAAAATCGAATGCTGACTCAATTTCCGAGTCATCTATTTAGCGAAAAAAAGAATTAACAAAAGCAAATTTCCAATGTTGAGTGAAAAAACATTAAAATTTCGCAAAAAACTGATAAGCTAGGACGAGGATAATTTAAGCTAGGACAAGAATAGTTTGAGCAAGCACGATTATTAACATACGAAATGAAAACAGCTACCACCAAACAGCACACACCAACCGAACGATAAATCGAATAAATGCTAGCTAGTCGCCAATTATACTTGCCTGAGAAGACACTAGGTATCACGGACATAAAATTTTTGACATTTCGAATGGGAATTCCCTGATCCTCTGAAACCATATAATCCACAAGCACCTCCAAACGACGCCATAGATATTCATTCGGGGAGTCTCGTAATTCTATAGAAGTGGCCGGCAAATAAACACATTTACCAAGCATTTAGTCAGTGAAGTAAAATGGCGTTAATCCAAGAAAGCAGGATCGAAAAATAAAGTATAGTACACAGATTGTTAAGGCATTAAAATAATCTTCGATGCACCAAGAAGAACGATTTTTTGGTTACGAAAAAACAAAGCCCATTGGTCTATCTTTCCACAAAGGCAATTATGCCCACTGTAACCACTAGATTTAAAAGTAGGGCTGCAAGGGAAAACTTAAAACACGACTCTTAACCCAGCTGTTCAGGTCAAAATTTACTTACAAAATAACAAGATTTACACGTATGCTACAATAAAAATTTAAAATTTTACAAATGAGGCTAAGTTTGCACAATTATTAGGGCTATGAATGATTGCCCTCATCCCATAACTTAACCCTGAATTTTTCCCATTTTTCTTGATTTCCCCTTATGTCTGCTACACCGTCGACTTTAACAAACACTGAAAAAGCGTGTAAAAGGTAGTGGATCTGGTTAGCCAGACGTACAAAGGAACTTGTATTGAATCACCAGACCGTCAACTTCTCCTTATGGTCTTCTTTCCTGATGCCTCACTTTTTCAAATTTCCGCTTTGAACAACAAATTGTTTTGCAGTATGCTGTTTCATGCATTCTGAAAACTGAGAAATCTGGCCAAATACCCTCTTAAGGAAAAGTTTTCCAGTTTTGTTGTCACATGCTTCCGGCTTCACGGATTTTTCTACTTATCTAGTTCTCTACAGATGAGCATGGTAGCAAAGGAGAAGTCAATTCAAAAGATGCCAAATTGCACGGAGTTAAACCATTTGTACTTTTTAGCCGCATTGGTGCTAAAGCAGACAATCTTTTACACAATTCTTTCAGGCCCCATTACATGGAATAGCTGCGCACTTCCAAATAGAGGAGTATACAGACCAATCGGAAACAAAAAGCTCAACATTAATTATGATAGAATTTGCCTGTTTTTATGCATCAGAGCTTTAGGAATCATTCTCTATCAGCAACTTGCTAGCTCACCAAAAAAATAGCCAAAAGACCATTGTAGCGTTCCGAGACTTCCCCGAAGACGAAGGAAGACACAATAATCAGGCAGAATATGTACATGGTGTAGAGAAGGTGTTTGGACTACTGGTATGACCCGATGGTCAGCTCACCCATCGAGGTACAAGAAGCCAAATTCAAAAGTACAAAGGTTGTGCCCCCAATACCGAGGGATAAACCACCAACGTACTACACCATTCCATCACATGGAAACACAAACCACATTGGCCAAATTCACGGTTAGGCATATACCAGTTGACTGTGTCAATATTTTTCAATTTTTTGAGAAAAGGAAAACAAATTGGTTCTTTTAGGTTTTCCAAAGACAACACTACTTCTCCATTTTTTTTTCTTAATCCTTTTTCAGCTGGTTGTGCTACGACGAAAGGCAAAAGATAAAGTGCACTTGACTAATGGATGTGTGGCACCATTTCTGACACTAGCAATGATGTCATCTGCAGCAATAAGTGCCGCTACAGAAGAGGCAGGGCGTGACCATCCATCTAGTTGTGTATCTGGGGTGTGGCTCTAATCATTCAAATAATTTGCTTGCATCGTTTTTGTAATGTAGCCACGAGATTGAGGCTAGTATAGCCGACTTATTTTTCTTTTTCTCAGACAGGAGTTACTGGGGCAGGGAAGGCACCTGAATGCAAGCTGGAGAACCATTCTAAGTTTTAATTGTTGGGACGGATAAAGTCTTCACTACATAAAAGCGTACAAACCTTTAAAGGATCATTCAGTGTGAGGTGATACTCAGTGATTTGGTTAGAGTTTGGTGGCCATAAAACCCCACGGCTAAATTCCTCCCAAAACAGATGAATAGTATTTGGTGAAGGAATGATATTCGCCCATATAGACCGTGGCACCCCAAAATAGTGCTGCATGAACATCAGATAACCGATGAGCATCTGTAGCGTCCTGAGACTCCCTGAAAACGAAAGAAGACACAATACTAGGGCAGAATATATATATATTCAGCACGAATAAGGTGTCT